TGGCCATCACTTCTAAGATTGAACCGTTACAGATGTGGGAAACCTGGCCATCACTGCTAAGATTGAACTGTTACAGATGTGGGAAACCTGGCCATCACTTCTAAGATTGAACCGTTACAGATGTGGGAAACCTGGCCATCACTGCTAAGATTGTGAGGAATCGACAGATAAGGATGAGTCTTCAATCCCAACAAGTCCAAAAGAACAATAAAGAGATAACCAAACATCGATAAAAACAGTAATTAAGCAAATTTATGTGGCGAATTTTAGCTTAGAATGCTCCTTCTACTCCAAATGAGATAAAATACTCATTATATAAAAACACTAGTTCACGAGTCGATGGGTATGTTAATGGGAAGGCTTGTTACATGTTGATCGTCCCAGCTACAATAGTTCGACCCGATTTAATAATAATTAAAGGTAGGAAAAGTAGGTGAACATAACGTTCCAGCAAGAAGATAGTTAGAAATTACCCTTACTGCAGGAAACTTCTGTAGGCCTCAAGACTTGTGGATAATTAATATCGAGAAATGACTTCCTGCTGATACATGGATATGAGGTTAAACTAGCTTCCAATAGCTTCACAGTCTATAACCAGAAAATCCCTATACACTACATGATGATTATTATACCAAAGATTGAACTTCCAGTGAAAACATGGAATGCAGTTATTATTACACCAAAATGTGAAATATTCATATCAGGACGAATTAGAAATAAGTTTTCATTTAGAGACTGGGACATAGGAGAACCAAACACTGCAGCGTGTTCTGAGGAAGAGCTCTCATGATTGGAAGAGTTCTTATGTATCTGAAGAATAAGAATGTTATCACTAGGGCCACAAACACAACAAATCACAAAATTCGAGCCAATTCTGGATGGGACATTGCAAAATATGAAGCTGTATAGGTAGTATTTCTATATCAACGAGCATCAGAAGTAGTTGTCTTTGAGACGAGATGTTGGAAGTCTGATATAAAATCCTCACTTAACGACAGCTTACCACCTTACTTACCAGAGTTCTATAATCAAAGCTGTGAAGGTCTTACAACAGATCAATGCCATATATTACATGACTTTCCCATGAAATATCAAGATACCTTCTTTAGTGGACCTAATGACTTAGGTCGAACAAATAAATTACCTCATAAAGTTGACAGTGGAATGCAGCCCCAATATTTCAGTTTGCTAGATTACTCTTACTTGCAAAGCATGCTGAGGCTTTCAAAGACTCAGAAGCCATAAAGAACAAGAACCGAGTAATACACCTTGGGTTTTACCTATAGTATTTGTGAAGAAGAAGGGTGAATACATAGAGTTCTGCATAGACTACTAGAAAGTAAATGAAGCTACAAAGAAGGATGTCTACTGACCGCCAAGGATTGACTCTAACTTGATTGTTTTATCTCGATCAAAATAGTTTTCAATATTGGACCTGAAGAGTGAATATTGGCAAGTGCAAATCAACAAAGCAAGATGAGAGAGCAGCTGTTACTGAAGGAAATTGATTCTGGCCATTTGTTGTATTACCGTTTGTATTATGTAATGCTCCTGTTACGTTTCAATGTGCACTCTCTCTGAACTACCCTGAAACGTCGTACTCATCTACTTGGATGGCATAATTACATATGGGAAGATCTTTGGTAATGCTTATGATGGGCTACGGAAAGGTCTGAATCAGTTGATGAAAGAGAACCTCAATCTAAACCCCATAAAGTGTGAATTGTTCCATTAACAGAAAAGTTTCCTGGGACACATAGTCGGTAGAAAATGAATGTGTATAGACCCATCTAGGATTGAATCTGTTCAAGATTGGTCAGAACTTATGTAGTGTAAGAGGATTTCTTAGAATTTGCTCTTACTATCGTCACTTTGTATTCGTAAGTTATTTGAAAAACCAAATGAGTTTTTTGGGATTGCTGATTGTTAACAAGCATTCAACAGACTGAAGAAAGAAATAACCATTATTCTATTATTAACATACCCAACTTTTGAAGATCCATTCATTTTAGATACAGACGTTACTGATTTTGAAGTGGGAACAGTGCTATCACAAGTATAACATGGAAAATAACACGACCTGCTATAGAAAGACAATGGATCCCACAGAAAGGATGTATTGTATAATTCAGAAAGAGCTACTAAGTGTTGTTCAAACCCAAAGTCATTTCCATCATTACGTATATGGATAAACGTTTACACCCCAGACAGATCATGCAGCACTGAAGTGGCTGGTAAATTTTCACACTTTAGAAGGCTGGATAACAAAATGGCTCCAGAAACTTTAAGTGCACAACTTTAACACTGTGCATCACTCTCTATGGAACCATGGAAGTGATTATGCATTTTTCCAAAGACCACGCAGTAAAAAGAATATATGTACTGTGAAATGACACAAGAACAAGATAATAAAGACTATCAACCTAAAGTATAAAAGAATATAATCCAAGACGTAACATCCACTAGTAATAATGTAAAACTAATGTGGTTCAACACCCAATTGAAAAATACTCGGGCAAAAAGTATGATTTTTTGAAATAAATTATTTAGTGGATCAACTACAGTGCAGAAAAACTATTGTGGTAAACAATCATCCCCTTCCCTAAAGACAGAGATGTGCTGGGCACAGTGGGATTCATTATGCGTACAATAGGAATTGTTACATCAGAAATGGGCAGATGCCAGTGAACAAAAACAACGACTATAGTTGGTATTTCAATATTCTCTATATTTCAAAATACCTTGCCATCTCCACAACCTTTCAACAGATGAAAGTTTAGGTGTTGGGAAGATACTAGAGAATGTACCAGGTGTACTTTAGTAGATCTCTTATCATAAGTTAACTTCATCGAATCAGCAGACGTTTTCAAGTTTGAACGCACTTGATGGTGAATATCATCCATCGTTTCCGATAAAACTTTCACAAACTCTGACA